TCTTGGTGGGAGGCCATACCTAGGTGGTGATATACTGGGGAAGTCTCGTCGTCGGGCTCTCTGAGGAGGAGATCTTGACTGCTTGTTCTCCCAGGTCCCTATCCTTTGGTTTTTTTGTAGGATGAGGGTGTTGGTCTGGTTGATGGCAGCGAGAAATGTTGCCATGGTCAGATCGACATTGTGAGGAATGAGAACTGGTTGCAGGATTTCTAGCAGTTCCTCGTTGGGATTCTTGGGATGTCCATTGTCCAAGAATTGGTTGTCGCTGCATCGGGCATCCGTTGAATCTAGAGATGCAGTCTAGCCGTCTATAAAACCTAGGTTGTCCTCGAGCTGAGGATGTTCCTAGCTTCCGTCGACTTTGTGTGCTGGGGAAAAATATCCTTTTCGAGCAGGTAGAGATCATCATGGTCGTCCATGATAGGTGAAAGGAATCTGGAAAATTTGCTTTGATCATTGAGTTTCGAGGAAAGAAAGATGGGGAAAGCAATTTCCCACAGACGGCGCCACTGATCTTACCGGTTGATCAGAACCTGCAAGGTGGCTGGATGATGATCTTCAATCGATATGTGATATCGAGGAGGAAAAATGGGGGTTGTACCTGTAAGGCACTCTAACGATCAAGTAAGAGTGGGAGCAAAGAGATACAAGCAAAGTGTTAAGGTATTAGTGGTGAATAGTGAATATTCGATACCTGGCCCTCACATGTGTGAGGGGTTATATAATGCCCCTGGCGCATGGCCATTGGTTCCTATTTTTAGGCCTGGAAGGGCTCTTCAACCTCTGTAAAAAATTTATGTTAATATACGTACTCACATAAAAAATTTATGTTAATATACGTACTCGCAATAGCCCACAAAAAAAAAAGTATGGACTAAAACTTTGTACCACTCCACAAAAAATTACATACAGAACAAACATACTCACAAAAAATTACATACAGAACAAACATACCCGACTGACGAGACTCGTAGACTAACTAAAAATATTGAGGGGCACATGTGTGAGGGGTTATAACTTCTAGGACTTGGTCATATCGGGCAAATGTGCTTGTAACTAGTCGTTAGATCCGAGGAGGGGGTAGGTTACGGGCAACAACCTGGTCGGTTCCTGGTTGTCTGTACGACTTGAGGTCGGGCAGACTGAGAGGTACTCGTGAATCACCTTAGGTTAGAGACAATTTGGGAGGGCAGACGGTCGATATTTCCCGATAGAGAGCGGGGGAGATTCGAGCCATGGGTGCATGGACCGTTCCAAAAAAAGGGGTCAGACTGGGCCCACTATGGCTGTCAGGCCAGTCCAGAACAATTGGTATAAATCAATTACAATGAAGTTTTCTCCCGAAGATAGGTATTTATACAAACCACACCAAACCACTTACACACAAAATGCTTGAACATCCAACTCCCAACAAAATTACCAAACCACTTACACACAACGCCCTGCCCAACAAAATTACCAACACAAAAACACAAAAACCCACAATCAATACCTACCACATACTCAACCACAAAACCAAGAACATACCCCCATCCCACTAACAACAACATGATTATTATCAAAACACCCAACAAACATATGTCACCAACACAACCTCCTACCATAGCCAAAACACCTAAGAAACATCCAACATTTCCCACGATAGCCCAAATACTCAAACATCACAACACTTAAACATCCAACAAACTTATGGCTACCAAACACAATAACAAACACTTCTTCCTTTCTCCAAAAAAGAATTCACACCAATATCACTATTCAATCAACCAGGCCGCTCACCAATAATCCAATCAATCCAAACAACACAATCTAACTACAACAACATGGGCAACAAACTCGATTACGACAATGCGTTAATGCATACACAAGACTAATAGAATTACAACAAATTCTTAGAGAATTTGGTGATAGTGATGCTCTAAGGACCTCAAATCAAACACCTCAACAAGTGAGTCAACAAAGACCTGTACATGAAATGGTACATCGGGTGTGTGAAACCAGTGGTATGTAAGATCAAGCAGTCATTATCATTAGTGTAAAAAATATTCTCGTATGTAATCCAATTTAAATGAAATATTATTAATATTTATTCTATTTTTAATTAATTAATTCTTTTCATTTCAAACAAAAAATACTTGCAACATATTAAAATCGACTGAATAGGCACTACCTCCTAACTCTTGTACATAGGAGCCAATTAGATTGACGTGGCCCATATGAGGTGTAACACCCGATGTCGAAGAGGGCGAGGAGTGGTTGCACCGCATGTAACACCCGGTCGGAGAAGGCAAGGGTGGTCGCCACATTGAAATGAGATGAATCCTGAGGCTGTGTGGGTATGATACTACATGGTTGAAAGAAAGGATCATAAGGATTGATTATTACTACCTATACTAATAAGACACGCCTTCTTTTTGGTAGCCTATTCCATAAGAACTCCAAAATTAAGCATGTTTAACTTGGAGTAATTTTGGGATGAGTGATCTTTTATGAAGTTTCCCGAAAAGTGTGTGAGTAAGAACAAATCATGTTGAAAAGACTCGTGTTGGTTTGTAGGGTCGGTCGATAATCCTGAAAGTAATCTAGGGCATTACAAATGGTATCAGAGCAAATCTTTCCCAGTATGATATAGTTCAAGGATGAACCATGCAGAAGCTGATGGACATGTAACACCCGATGCCAAAGAGGGCGAGTAGTGGTTGCACCACATGTAACACCTGAGGCCGGAGTGGGCAAGGATGGTCGCCACATCAGAATGAAAGGGATTCTGAGGCTGTACAAGTATGAGACTACATGATTGAAAGAAAGACTTATTGATTTGTACTACCTATATCAACAAGATGCATCTTCTTTTCGATAGTCCGTTCCATAAGAACTCCACAGTTAAGCGTGCTTGAATTAGAGCAATTTTGGGATGGGTGACCTTCTGGAAAGTTTCTTGAAAAGCGTGCGAGTGAGGACAAATCATGTTAAAAAGACCTGTGTTAGTTTGTGGAGTCAGTCAGTAATCCTGAAAGCAATCTGGGGCATTACTTGAGGCGTCAATTCAATTAACTTCACCTCTAATTTATACAATACAAACGCCAATCCAATCCAATCCAATTGACTTGTACTTTGCATTACAATATTTTTTTTAAGCATTGATAGTTGGAAAATTAATGAACAAACATGATTATTTAAGGAATTTTGTTAAAAATATGATTATTTAAAAAAAATCTAATTCTAAACTTTTGAATAATAATTAACTCATCCATAAAAAAAATTTAAAACCTATTTACTTTCAAACATTATAAAATATCCAAAAACTTTTACATTCGCATGAAGAATCACCCCATTAAACGCTAACACATAATATATGAGATTTTTTTATCCCACGGTATATGGTGGAAAAACACCATATAAAAATTAAAAAATGCTTTTCAAATTTCATAAAAATACATTTTCGGACACACTTTTTTACACCAAAACACCTTTTAAGTAAGACTCACCTCATTTTTTTCTCCAAAATTGATTATGGAGATGCATTTCCAAATTTGAGTATATCCATTGAGACTAAATTCATACATAAATGAGACACACATTCGTTTTTATAAAAAATACAAAAATATATTTCCGAAATAAATAAAAAAATATATTTTCAGAAATATTTAAAGTCAAATGATGGATGCGAGTGATGAAAGGTGTGCGATAGTTTCACCCATAAAAAAAAAAGAAGATATTTTTTAGTGAGCAACAGTGTTCTTAACTTTAGCTAAGGGTGTTCGCGGTGCGGTTTGGATGGTTTTGATGCTGAAAGTCATCTGAACCGCAAGAGAAAAAAATATGCGGTTTGGTTTGATTCGATTGACTTTTAGAAAAAAATCAAACCAAACTAATGCGGTTTGATTAGTTCAAATTTTTACAAATATTTTATTGAGCCATTTATACACATATGGATGACAACATAACTTTGTATTTAGTCATCCATACACTACCAAATAACAACAAAACTCATCATATTTGAACAACAACTTCTCATTTAATATGTAAAAATTAGATTAGACAAAAGTGGAATAATAAACATAAAATAATAGCATAAAACAATATCAAAATATTATAATGAAAAAATAGAAGAGATGAGAGATTAATGAAGATGAAAAAGAAAGAACATAAGAGATGAGAGATTAGAGAAGAAGATGTACGATAAAAACAAAATTGAAAAAGATTGTATAAAAATGAGAAGGTGAAAAAGAAAGAATATATAAGAGAGTATAGATTAGAGAAGAGGAGGAAATATGTATGTGGCAAGAAGGCGCAATAATGCTAGGAGAAATTTGAGAAGACTAGAACTGAAATCAGTGTAAGGATGAGAAAGTTGTTCGTAACCATAAGGCTAAGGTATAATAGGTTTATGTTTGAGTTAAATCTGAGTTAAGTAAAATTTAGGTTGTAACATAATGCGGCTTGATTCAGTTTGCAAAATACAAATTGCAAATCAGCAAACTGAATCGTGCATTTTGTTAAAAGATGACCCAAACACATTCAAAATAAAAGCGATTTTTTACAATTTTGATTTGCGATTTTCTATTAAGTTGGTTCAATTTCAAACACCACTTTAACATAACACATAAGTGATGCACTAATTAATTTTCTTAGGTAATGTAGAAATGTTGACACAAAAAGATATGTAATTGTTTTCAAAAGTATAATTTTAGATTTATTCTGTAAATATATTTTTGAACTATATTTAAAAAATGACGTTTTTGCTCATTTAAATATAAATTTGATATATTTGAGGTGCGTTCGGAGACACATCTCTACAATATAAAAACTATTATTGTTTTTTCACTAATTTAGAGGACATTACAATATCCCCTAATATATTCTCAGCATTAAGCCTATAAATATAAATGGGCCGCGCTTTCCATGAAAAGGCCCAAAAAGAAACTGTCACTCGAGTCTCGACTACAGCGCTAGGGCTCACACCCCTCACCGTTCTTCCATCAGAACCAGAAGAAACGATGCTTTCAGGGGACATACCTCCAAATCAAACCATTTACGTTAAGAATCTCAATGAAAAGGTCAAGAAAGATGGTAAATTTATTTCGCACCATTTTCACTCCCATGTTTTGTTTCGTTTTTCTACTTCAATTTTGTAATTACTACTCTTTTCTAGCTTTGTTGTGATGTTAGAAATTTTCAAGTTTACAAATGTTTCTGGTAGTTTTGAAGTTAGGTTATCGTTGAATTTGGTTGCTTGAGTTTTTTTACTGAATTTTTAGGGTGGCTTTGGATTTCGTGTTTCTAAAGCTGATTTTAGATTAATATGTTGCAAAGTTTAGTTTATTTGGATTTGGCATTTCTCAGTTGAACAAGATTGAAGTTAATTTCAATCTAGATTGAACTTGGCCGGAGCAGCCGATGTCGGCTCGGAACAGCACAGTGGCCGAAAACTTGTCATACCGCGCTTGAATGGCTGAGAAATCGGTAGCAGAAACGGCGCGGATTGGTGGTGACGCGACCGAGGCTACTGTGTCTGGTTTTTCCCTTGAAATTCCATTCCGTTTCATTTTTTGGGATGGCCATGTCGCATCGTCATCCGAGTTTAACAATATAGATTTCAATGTAGTCAAACCTAGTGTTGTTAAATAACCAGATTCAATAACATAGCGGGATTTGGGGAAAACACTATAAAATTGGACACTCTCGAACTATAATATGCCAGTTTTTACCTTTATCCATTCATTCATGTACTTTTGAAAATTTAAAAATGATGTAATCAAATTTAGCGTCTTTAATCCCCTTTTTCATCATCATTGAATACTGCACAAAGTGTGTGTGAAAAGAAATGCATATGTGAAAATTTTTCATGTCTAATTAAAATACTAATATCTTATTTCTAATTCTAAAAATCTAATTTGTGTTCTAATTTGTCTAGGAAAATATTAGAACAAGCGTCCATTATTATCATAAATAAGCATAAGTTATTTTCTGTTGGAAAAATGTAGATTTATCTGACATTAGCATGAGTTTTTTAGTGTGTCGAACGCTGATGCAATGTTGGACACGAGACACTCCTAGCTTTAGGGGTGTTTGTATGTCATAGTACATGACGATCAAATTGATCTTAGGAGTGTGTGTGCTTCATTTTATCGATATTTATAGTGTGTCAAACACTGATGCAATGTTGGACACCAGACACCCCTAGCTTTAGGGGTGTTCGTACTATATAGTATATGAGGATCAAATAGATCTTAGGAGTGTCTGTGCTTCATTTTATTGATATTTGTATTGCAAAACTCATTGTTGGATTGAAAGTTCGTATCATGTAGATCTTGTGTATAAATTTTTATGGAAACCTACAATTGTTTGATATGTCAATGAGGTATGGGCGAAGATTAATGTCTTGTTTGTTATTAAAAAATGTTAATCTTAATATATAATTGAAGACATGATCCCTCTATATATAGAAAACTTATTTGGTAATTGGACTTTTTCGCTTGTCTTGTTCGATTCTTTTTCTTTTTATTAAATTAAACAACTTTGATGTTGACACTGATATAATTTAGCATTATGACTTATGTTCTGTTTGTTGTCTCTGCGGCAGAGTTGAAGAGATCTCTGTACTGCTTATTCTCTCAATATGGAAGGATTTTGGATATTATTGCTCTAAAGACACCTAAGCTTCGAGGACAGGCATGGGTTTGTTTTAGTGAAGTAACTGCTGCCAGTAACGCAGTGCGACAGATGCAAAATTTCCCATTTTATGAAAAACCCATGGTATTCATGTTATACATCCTATACTTGTCAATTTCTGCACAGTTGTTCATAAATCTATTGCATTTTATGTCTTTTTTGGGAACCTTTTCTTGTTGCCTGCTCAAGTTATCTTACTCTTTTTAACTTTGAATCTTGTAATTTCTCTTGATTGTCTATTGACCATCATGGAGTTACTTTTAAACATGCCAAAATATAGCTGATTGTAAGAATTCTTAGTTAATATCGTGGTTTAAGTTTTGTTGGTCCACACATCTATTGTCCTGTATGCTGTGCATGTTATCTTGTAAGAATTCGTAACTAAGTATTTTCTTTGATCCAAACATCTGTTGTTCCTGTTGGCAGTGTGTTCGTTATCAAGAATGAAAGATATTAATGACATATCCCTTGTTCTTTATTTATCCTTTCTTGTGAAGAAAATTACTTGGTATTTTGATTTATCTTTTTTCTATCAGTGATATGCTTCTAAAATCTTTTTGTGTAAATAATATTATGCAGAGAATTCAATATGCAAAAACAAAGTCAGATTGTATTGCTAAAGAAGAGGGAAGTTTTGTTCCAAGGGAAAAGAAAAAGAAACAAGAGGAGAAAGGTGAGTGGTCATTTATTTTTTCCTAGCAGGCCACAGGCTTGCTCATTTTCTGAATTGTGTTGGTTCCTTGCATGTTGAATCTATCATTATCATATGTACCTTTGAAGTGGTAATTCAGTTTGCAATTACTGAACAATCATATATAATGTTAAATTTTTGCATTCAAATACTTGTCATGAGCCCCACCTCGATTATGAGAGTGCTGTTGGAGGTAGGAGAAGAGAATGCTTATGAGTGACATTTACATTATTTTGGGGGTATTATAAGAAGATGGAAAGGTTGTAATGATTTTCAGAGTTCTCTGAAACACTACATAGTAGTTTCTCAGTTTTATTCCTAGGAAGTAAAATAAACACCAATAAAAGGTGGGGAGTTATCCTCATTTCCCCACTTTTTCTAACTCCTAAACAAAGCCTTATGGTCAGAATGGGAGTTTGGAGGGGTAGGGAGAGCCTTTGAGGGGAAGGGAACGAGAGAAATCTTCCACCTTATTTGAGACATTGAATGATAAGGGAATACTTATCATCAATATAGTTGCAATTTGAAGAGTATTGTAACATGGGAAAATTCATCTAAACCATACTCACATGATTCGCAGGTACCCCTGTGAACCGCGAATTGGTTCACGCATACCAATTCGCGGTACTTTTGCGAATTGGTTCGTGCGAATTCATCTGAAATTCGTGTAAAATGAAGTACCCACGAACCAAATACAAACTCAAAATTTAAATGACATAATATTTATCAAATAAACTAGAAATTATAAAAACAAAATTTTAACTAATTTTTTAATTATGATGAGGTCTGTATCACTTTGAATCACTTTGATAAAAATGAATATTAATGACCATACTAATTAATATTAAAGCTTTGGTGAGCTGATATTAGAGATATGAGTATACATTAGATATTTATAACTGATTTTTCAAAGCAATATTTGTAATGTAGTCGATGTGGGACTAAAAAGTTTTTCTCCCAACCACTGTTTATTCTAAGTAAACCATTTCTTCAATAATAACGTACCGATTATAATATTTGAACGTACCCCGAACCCAAATAGCGTACCGACTATGTATACCTCTCACGTACTTAATTCTTTGAGAGTTGCATACCGCGTGCCCGAATTCGTACCACGTACCGAAGCGAATTGTGAACCGTGTGACTATGATCTAAACCCTCTGGATTGATGAAAATGGATGGAATGGAACGGAGCGTATGATGTTACGTTCCTTTGTTTGGTTTTACAAAAAATGAATGGAATGGAATGTGATGTGATGAAATCCATTCCATCCAATACCACTATTTTAGTTCTTTTTTCATTCCACCCCTTTGTTTGGTTTTACAAAAAAATGAATGGAATGGAATGTGATGAAATCCATTCCATCCAATACCACTATTTTAGTTCTTTTTTCATTCCACCTAAATTGGGGAGTATCCAATGGAATGGAACAAATTAATAACACAATTCCAATTTTATCTTCCAAAATTTCACATTAACCATATTAATGTTTTTTAAGTAAAGGGTAAAAATGGAATAAAAAATTATAAAGCTTTCCGCTCCGTCTAATTTCCAAACAGTGGAATGAGATGTTAGTTCTGCTCCGTCGTAAAATATCCAACAATATAATGGAGTTTGTGTTCTGTTCCGCTCCACTCCGTTCCGTTAGTTTTAAATTATCCAAATAGATTTTTTGGGTGCATTTCAGACACTAAGATTCAACTCGACATAAGCAGAATAGTACAAAACAAATACACGTGCCTCAATAATTTTTGTCTCATATATGTTAGTATACACAACAAAAGCTACAACAACAACTAAGCCTTATCCCACTAGGTGGGGTCGGCTATATGGATCAACTTTCGCCATAATGTTCTATCAAGGACTATTTTTCTGTCCAAATCATTAATCTCAAGATCTTTTTTAATAACTTCTCTTATAGTCTTTGTGGGTCTTACTCTTTCTTGAATTATTTTCCTTCTCTCCATCTGGTATACTCTCCTTACTAGTTACTATAGAATTTACCGGTCTTCTCTCTACATGCCCAAACCACCTAAGTCTATTTCTACCATCTTCTCTACTATAGGTCTACCCCAACACTCTAATAATTTCATTTCTAATTTTATCTTGTCGAGTCTTACCACACATCCACCGCAATATCCTCATCTCTGCTACACTTATTTTATTCTCGTGTTGATTCTGAATCGCTCAATATTCTGTCCCGTACAAAATTGCATGTCTTACTGTAGTTCGATAAATTTTTCCCTTCAGCTTGAGTGGTACCTTTGCATAACATAAAACACTTGATGCCTTTCTCCATTTCAACCATCCAACTTGGATTCGATGCTTCACACCCCCTTCTATTTCTCCATCATTCTCTATTACTAAAGTTATTTAAACCGTGTGACTTGAGGGATAATATGGTCTCCATCTTTTACCTCTAAGTTAAAACCGCTTCTTCTTTTGTTGAACTAACATTCCATATACTCCGTCTTACTTTGGTTTAGGCGAAAATCACGTGTTTCTAAAGCTCGTCTCCATGGTTTCAACCTCATTTAAATCCTCCTTCGACTTTCTAAGAAGGACTATATCATCTGCAAAAAGCACGCATCTCGGTGCTAGCTCTTGGATGTGTTCCGTGAGTACATTCAAAATTAAGATAAGAAGGTAGGGGTTTGAGGTTTCTTTGTATGCTAATCGGTCTTTTATTAAGTATGTGTCATTTTTGTCAATTTCAGGTTTTTTTTGTCTTTTAATTATATTTTTCATAAATTCCTACAAGGCGAATCTATGGACCCTTCACGAGTATATCAGAGGGGAGTGAGGAGGGGCAAGTTGTTTCTTTGTGCGGTTAGTTTTGTTTAATGCAACTGAACAAACTAGTTTGAGCTATCCTATCATTAGGTCTGGTCTTGTAGGGCCACAAACTGGTTTTCAAACTGGTTATCATACAAAAAAAAACAGTTCTGTTCAGTTCGATTGATATATGCAATGCTTGGTTCAGTCTGGTTGGTTTTTCTGGTGAATTGAACTGTGACTAACCTATTTTTACTCGATTTCACTGGGCCTAAAGATAACAGGATTGAAATATTATTTAATGTTACTGTCTAGCTATTAAGTGTACATAAATTATTAGTTCCTTTCTGATATTGTTGCTTATGAATCAATGTTAGTTCCTTTATTGAATTGGCAGTCATTTCTCATTATTTTTATTTGTTCGACTCTTTTATTTTTACTGTACAGCTGAGAAAAAGAGGTACACTGAGGAACCAAAACCATCTTCTGTGCCAAATGGAACACACGGTGCAAGTAATGGTGGTCCAACAGTAAGTTCATTTAATCCACTTTGATTATAATGCCTGATGTAATGGTGGTCCAACAGTAAGTTCATTTAATCCACTTTGATTATAATGCCTGATTTTCTCTCGGGTAAAGCTTTGCTCTAGATTGTGAAGAGTTTACTGGTTCTGAATTCTGATATAGCAAATTTGCCCCCATTTTTTAATAAATTGGATCATAAGATCAATATTTGGATTCTAGTCCCAGAGAGCATTTAATTTTACATGTATAGCATGACAATTATCATCAATAATTCTTCAATTTCATGCACTTATGTTGATATTACATGCGACTTACACATGATATGTACTCTTCTTATCTGCAGCCCTCATTCCGTCCAGGGTCTAATTCCCAAGAAGCAGCTGCTCCTAACAATATTTTGTTCATAGAGAACTTACCTTACGAAACTACCGGTAGAATGCTTGAAATGCTCTTCGAACAATACCCCGGGTTTAAAGAAGTGCGCTTGATTGATGCAAAGCCAGGTATCGCATTTGTAGATTTTGAAGATGACATACAATCATCCATGGCAATGCAGGCTCTTCAAGGCTTCAAAATCACACCTCAAAATCCCATGGTTATAAACTTTGCTAAGAAGTAACTAATTGATTTTCTGCAATCAGCATTTGAAGTAAATTTTGCATACTGTATTGGTGTAGGTCTGTTAAAAACCAATTGCAGAAGTTGTAAGTTTACAGGAAGTTAGATTACAACAAGTAGACAGAAAGTGAGAAATCTTCCACATTTGTGAGAAGATTGAGATAGTGATTGCTATAATTATGTCTAGTGGTTGTATGTGGTTTATTTTTATATTTTCTCTGTAAAACATGTTCTCCTTTACTCTGTAAACTAGGTTCCATGAGCTGTTTAATTTCATCGGCCCATAAATTTTTCCAGTTTTTAGGTTCGTGCCAATTTTCCCTGCATCCATACAAAGCATTCCAATGGTTTCCTTAACTAACTTGATTTGGTCATTGACTTGGTTGAGGCTTAGTATCATTGGTCGGGATTGATAGTTTCAACTGGCCTGCCATCAACCCTACTTTAAAGGAATTTCTCATTACACCCTAATGTTCTCTTTATCTATCATCACTCTCTCCGTTCTAAACGTTACTCATTTTCTCAAAATTTTGCCTGAAGTTATCTAATCTTTTGAATCCAAAAGGCGGAGAATCTAAATCCACCACTCAAAGCTATTTAACTTCCTTTTAATTCTTACTTGGATTATACTCTTCTAACTGGATTGACAAACTCATTATCTTGTTTGTTTGAATTGTATATTGTTTTTTTTGAACTAATGTCATATTTGTATTATGTTTAAAATATACCTGTCTATTGTTTTTAATGAATCAATATTTTTAGTTAGTCTACGAGTCTCGTCACAAGTTTTAGTCCATACTATTTTTTGTGGGCTATTGTGAGTACGTATATTAACATAAATTTTTTATGCGAGTACGTGTATTAATATAAATCTTTTACATATTAAAGTTTTAGGTCTTTTACAGAGGTGAAGTGTTCGGGGCTTCCTCACCCTGCCTTCATACCGCGTTCCGCATGTTTTCATGTTTTCCTTCCCTTCCCGTGAAATTATCTTTATAATTTGGATCTTCAGAAATTATTGAACTATGCTATGAAGTAGTTTGGGCCAGCTTGGCATATCTTGTCTTAACATAGTAGAATGGAGAAAAAAGTAGAGGACATTAAGTTAGTCAAAGATTTTGATTATTGACTCTTCAAATACTACAATGGTCAAAGTGGATATAACACTCCTTCCACCTTCTTCCGGTCTCGTAAAAAGTAGCATATGTAACTTTTACTCGATTGTAAAAAAAAGTTAAATACATTTTGAATCCTTAATTTTTAGTTCTGGTCTTAAATTTTTTTTTAAAAATTTACTCTCTCAAAAATTTCAATTACCAATTTTAGTCAATATTTTTTTTAATAGTCAATATGTTTCTTTGTATGTTTCAAGTAATTATTTTAGACGACATTATCATATTAAGTCTTTAAAATCTCATTATCTTAATAACTTTACTATTTAATTTTTAATTTTTAATTTAATAATTTAATATTTAATTTTGAAATTAAAAATAAATTAATAAAATTTAAGATTTAAATTATTAAATTATTAAAATAATGATATTTTATGATGTTATCAGTGATTGATATGCCATAGAAAACTTTTTAACATGCCATATGAGTTTTAGTTGAAAATCAAGGATTGAAATTGATAAAAGAAAATTTAGGGTATATTTAAATCGGGTGATAAATAATGAGATTTTACTATTTTAATTTGTAAATAATGGATAAAGCAAAATGGAATACGTTAAAATCTATTTTATCATATTTCATTAAATTCTTCAATTTTCATTTTATTTGATTTGAGATGTATGCAATATAATGAATTAATTTATTATGTTTCATTCCGTCAAATTATAAAAAATATATAATAATAAAATAAAAATATATATATTTTATCCTATTCGACTCAACTGCATTTTATCATATTCTATTTCGCCTCATTTCCCTCTATTTTATCATGTAAACATAATTTGAGATTAAAGTTTGAAGAAATTTTTTAAAAGATTAAAACTAAAAGTTGATATATTTAAAAAAATTATCAACGCATTTAAATCTATAAAGTATTAATTTTATTTGATTTTAATGATAATATAATATGTTATTTAATCAAACTGAGCTGTAATAATAAAATTTATTAATAAAAAATAATTATTTTATTGATATTCTCAAACAATAATTATTTTAAAACAAAACTCTTCTAAATGAATATTTTATTAAACATGATAGAGTATTTAAAATCTAAAATGATCAATGTGTTTAAAGTTATAAGAGGTGAATTTCTTTTTTTATTCCTATAGTTTTCTAGTGCACTACACGAAATTACAAAAATATTTATGAAAATCGTAAATATATTTCTAAGACGCATTAAGATTTGATAAAAATATAGGTTGAAATCAGAATTTAATATTTGGTTTGTACGCAGACTTATATTTTCAGATCTGTTTTTGCCTTTTAAATATGGTGGAATCACATTTGATTTGTTTGTGTATGGTACGTATTGAAAATATATTTTCAGTTTCTAAGAGAGATTTTAAAAATTGTATAATATTTTTCTTTTCACTATAAAGTGGAAAAAGAAATTCTCTATAAGAATCGTTCTTAAATCAAAGACATGGTCCCCAAGTTTTTGATAGCATGAAAGAGTGAAATTTAGAAGATGGGTTGTAATTCAAAATTGTGACTCGTTCGTTTTAAATTCTACATCGTCATGAAAACTCTAACAAATCTAATGAATTTGTTGTTAATTTCAAACATATTAAAAAATTTGATGTGTAAGATAACGAATAATAAAAATAAAAATAAATAGTCTCAAGTCACACAATAATTTTATAATTTGTTAAGAGTGAAGACAAATTCACAAGAAGACAAAAAAGAAAAAATATGAACATAAATAAATTTATTTACCCAGTTCAATCGAGTCGATTTACTCTAAGGGAGAGAGCAGCTCTCTGATTCACTATACTTTTAAAATTTGTTACAAGAAATTACAAAAGAGTTATAAGAAAATAATCACTCAAGTTTCAAATAACAAATTCTAATTTCTACTTCAAGTGTTTCTCAACCTCTCCAACTCTCTATACATAAACCAGACCAGCCAAAGATGTTTAGAAGTGTTTTTAACCCCCTTAGATACCTTCAAGGGTTTCCCAAACTCCAAGAACGATAAAAATATATTTTTATAATTGTTGAAACCCAACTGATCCTTAATAAGTCCAACTTACAGCTCATTAATGAATGAATAAGATAATCAAAACGATCAAGCTAATGCACGTGAATAGACTAAACTAGACCTGATTCTCGACTAACACGATTTCCTGCTAATCTTGACTAGCCGCTGCTGACGAAGTTTCGCACCAAAAGGTCAAACCTATGTTGAGTGACTAGACCCTTGCTGGACCACTTTGCTACTAACCATCACCACTGCGGCTCCAAAAGTGACTGCCACCACCTGATCCCGATGCCACTGCTAGCCATCACCCGTACCACTTTCGTAATTCTGGTGTCTTTTAACGACATATTACTGCTCGTCGACTTTTTGACTTCTAGCAATTTTGAAATATATTTTCTTTATCTTCATTACTTAAGGTTTTAAGGCATACTTCTACAACTTTCTACATTGGCTTTAAATTACAACAATGCCAATTTACTCATCAACCATCCTGTTATTCTCTACCATTTGAATCATCATTCAACAACTTTGATCAAGTTCAGGCCATACTTGAACCTTGATCTCGCCTCTTTATCTCAACCATTTTTTCCTACTTAGGTATTCTAAAAAGCCTACAAGCATGATTCTTCAACCATATTTGACTCCACTTATTTCCAAATTCCTTTTTTAATGTCCTTATGTATGAGTTTTGACACCCTTAAGCCACTTTCAAACATAACACCCAAGGTCATCATAATTGTAGCTTTGAGATGATCAAATCTCTCTCTTTACCTCATCACGAGTAAAATGATAATTATATGTCTCTGTAATCGTTACCTCAGTATTACTAGTATCATTATTAAGAATCTCCACCTTAAAATGAGTATTTCCACCATAGTTTCTAAAACCTTCATCACCAAGTATTTACTCTTCCTCCCTTGACGAGACTCACAAAAAGTAATACACATGCAAATGATGAACTTTGATCCTCTTGATTCCACTTTTCATAACTCATAACTATTTTCACTTTTTGGATAGCAATTGAAAACACAATTCACAACCTTACCATCAAGTTAGATAAGCTCGATTTGTGTATTACGAAAAGATTTGATGACCTTCAAATTAGAGTAGTTTACAATTTCGTACTCTAAACCTCCACGAGTGTTTGGAAGATTATTTGTGTAAATTAACACATACCGACTAGGTAAGCTGCTTTTGCATTAACCTTACCCTAGGAACTCAATGATAACTCAGTGTCCAAATTCATTTTTTATCCAGTGTATTATGGAAAACTCATTAAAATGCCTTGAATACTCTGGACATCTACCATGCATTGACCTCAAATACCAAAACTTGTTCTTATCATCAAAGTCTTCAGTAGTTGATGATGAATGAACAACAACATTATAAACTTCTAAATTATATAACCCACATATTTTAGACCCTTTAGCCATGATCACCCCGCCATGAAAAATATTTAACACTTCATATTCAACTATAGTGTAATAGCCTAGATCATCACACATCCTTATGGATACAAAATATCTCCTAATCTATGGAACATACCTCACATTCTGTAGAAGAAACTCACCATTATCGAACATTTTAAGTCTGATCGTACCAATGTCACGAACTTCATTAGCCTTACTATCCCAATGTAAGATACTCCACCTTGCTCTAGCTTCAATGTCTCAAAGTATTCTTTTCTTTGACACATGTCATAAGATCAAATTTAGTTCATGACCTAACTCCTTTAAGTTTTAATAGTTTATACCACTAGTGCATAAACACTATCATAACCATCCTTATCTAAGGAAACTACAATATGAATAAAATCATCATTTCCCTGTCTAGGGACATTCCTTCATGAAATGAGCGATTTTCTAACAAGTGGAACATTTTAATCTTGAATTATCAAACCACTTTAATTTTGACATCTCTTTATGATATCTTCATCCTCTTGAGACACTCAAGCGTTCACCATTATTACCAATATTTAAATATTTCACCTTTGAAAATTCCTTGGATCTTACAATCATCTGTATTTCATCCAAAGTAATAGTAGATTCTTTACCATATGGAAGGGTATCCTTGAAGTGCTCCACGTTTGTAGGTAATAAGTTTAACAAGAGTAGGCCTTGTCCTCGTCATCAATCTTCAACTCAAAATTCTCTAGATGATCAATGATCTAGCGGAATTCTCTCAACTACTCTACTATGAATTTATTTTCTACCATTCAAAATGAGTATATTTGTTGATTCAAACATAAC